GAGGACAAGAGGAGGACAAGGCCCAGCCACAGAGCCCAGCCACAGAGGTCAGCCACAAAGCCCAGCCACAGAGTTCAGGGGCGCGGCCAGTGAGTGTGGCCAGCTCTGTTCTTTCTAAGATAGAACCCCAACAGTAAACTGTTTGGGGAAAAACCAAGGATAATTTTCCACCGTTGGCAAGGTTTTGACAAGACAGTGCCACCGCCTGGACGTGCATGCTTCGTTGACAGGGACAACCATGAATGACGAGGCTCTGTTGGCGAGGTAGCTTTTCAGTGAACAAGAGAAGACCAATGGTGCTCCGTGTGCCTTGGAGGCTGTTTGAGTGCAGAAGGCCACCTTCAAGAAAACCGAATGGAATCAAAAACAGCTCCGCGCTGCAACCAGCATCCTTCACAGCAATTCAGAAGGGCTCTGGAAAAAAGAAACACACACACACAAAACATCCACCCACAACTCACATGCAAGCTCAATGCCCTCACCGTACCAGTGAGGCCACAGTCGCAGAAGAGGCAGAGATTGCCTTTGTCATAACCGAGGACCACAGTGCACTGAAGTCGCATGCAAGCTTGGGTGCACAGTTTGCCCGAGCAGCTGTGGAGGCAGTCCTGGTTGCAGCACCGAAGGGATCATTGATTCGGGGCTTTGCAGAACTTTGAGAACATCGAGCAAAGCGGCGCAGCATGATGATATGCGACGCAAACAGCTGGAGATCTATGAGAAGAAGCTGACCAAAGAGGAAGCTATCGCTTTCGCCCAAGCATAACAGCAATAACAAAAACAAAGGCAAAAGTTTTCGGGTACCAGGATCCACAGTACTCCAGAGACCAACGGCAACACCAACACCATAAGAGCAGGGCGACAACGCGTCCTTCAGATGGCAGCTTGGAAACAGTGGGTCCTGGAGCATGACTGGCTGCCTTTGGAAAAAAGCAGCCTATGAACTGGCACAGGCACCATTACATTGGCATGAGAGCGTGAACCAATTGTTACAAAACTTGGATGAACTTGGGTTACAGACAACTCGAGGTGGAACCATGTTTTTGGATCTGGGTTGGCAAATCCGGTGGTGAAAAGAGCTGTCCACGCTCATGTTGATGATCTTCTTTTTGGCACCGAGTTAAAGGGTCTTTTCAATTGGGGAACCTGGGAAGACAGTTTGTACAATGTGGAGAAGACAACGCTCCGGGGCCACTTGGATCATTGTGGACAATCAGCATCATCCTTGCTGCAGATGTGAAACTGCAAAGGTTCCCATCAGTACCGTGGCAGACATCAACAAGACACACAAACTCACAAGCAACATCAAAAAGACTGCAGATCAAGTTTACAATATGCATGCCTTTCCTCCGGATGAGGCACTGGAATTAGCTGGCAGCTGTATGTACAGATTCGGCTGAGGCTAATTTTATAACCAAATGGATCCAAATCGTGTGGATCCACAAGAGGCATTTTCGTTGGAATGACAACGTCATCTTCGAGAGGGACAAGAAGCCAGAGTTACTGCAAGACATTGGAGGTCCGGGAAAATGATCTGGATTCATATAACCTTGTGGGCAAAATGCAAGGTTTGCAGGTAAATACACAACATGTTGACACTAATCAAAGGACTCTTCATCTTAGTTTGACAAAATGTTTTGGGCTGCACCGAGGGTGAAGGGAGCAGAAAAACACTCTGGGATTGAAGCAATGAGTCTCAGGGAAAGCCTTAAAAAGAGCAAGGTTGAGATTTGTTGGGTAGATTGGGGTGGGCATCCGTTGCTTGCCAACGTCCTAACAAAGACATCAGAGCAGGGATGGCTGCATGCACCGTTGAGGCAATGAGGTGCTGAAATCAGCCGTTGAGGCAATGCGGCGAGCAGCAAGACTCCGACTCGTCGACATCGAGGACACGCAGCTTAGAGCATATCATCAACATCAACAGAGCCACAACACACAGACTCGGCTGTGAGGTTCTTTTCATTGCTTGAAACTATGTACTTTGGGTATTCACTCCTGATCAAAATGAGGCAGTGCAAATTTTAGCATTTGGCGTTCTTTCCCGGCATTTGCAAGATGAATCGCCCCTAGGCTTCATTGAAAAGGACGTATATAGTATACAGTACATGTGTGTACAGTAATATACTGAGTTACTGTGTACATATATATATATATAATTACATATGCGCACAAGAGAGTTATGTCTCATTGTTGCTTCACATCATTCTCTCCCACCTGCACTGGATCTGGTGGAGAAGAGTCAGTTCCCTGCGCTTTGGCGCGGGCCTTAGCGGCCAGCTCTTTCAGTTCCTGACGAAAACAAAACAATGTGCTTCTTTAGCTTTGCCAGAACCCCTAGCTGCGCACAAAAATAGTCCATCCCAAAAAAACACACAAAAATTCTCGACGTTGGGTCTAAGGAGTGGTTTCTTGCTCGTGGTACTTCATTCACTAACAAAATCATATTTATCAACACCACACTAATACACGCATATACAGTCATGTCATGCCTCTACGTCTCTGGTGTCGAGTGTTGTCTACGTCTCATGTCACCCGCATGTCGCAGCCGGTCCTTCTCTTCGTCTGTCTCTGGTCTTGGCTCACCTCTGCAGTGCCACAGCTGAAACAGCTGAACACACGGCGTGACACAGCTGAACACGAGGCCGAGGCCCAAGCTCTGGGACTTCAAGTTGTCCTGCAATCGTCACACTGCTTTGTTTCAGAAGCGTGTAGATAGGGACTTCATCGGCAAAGGGAACGATGTCGCCATGCAAAGAAAGGGCCTCTAAAGCCTCAGCGAGGCCCAAATCTTGCAACCTGAGCCGACAGCACAGGGTCTGTTCCGAGGGATGAGAAACCAACTGGGCTGCGAAGCTTGCGCCGTCGTCTCGGGCCATCCTGATGAGTCACACATGACGAAGAACTGAGTCTTCAAGACGTCGAATGTTCACAAGGGCATCGCTACTAGGAACAAGTGCCACGCTAGTAGTAACAAGTGCCTTACTAGTAGTAGCAATGTTTGCTAGAATTTAGTAGAACTAAATGCCCTTTTTCACAAGGTTCTGGGCTCCTTCTCAGGTTCTGCCTTTAAAGTGGTCGACTCTCCGTCTCCACCTGACTCGAAAAGCCCTCTGGTCCGAGACATCTTAAAGTGATAGGCTTCATGTCTTGATCATGTTTGCATGATGATTGCAGCCTGCTTGTGGCTTGGTGTCTTCCCGCTCAGGCCTTAAAGCATTTCGAAGGACATTCAATGTACGATAAGCTGATAAGCAGTGCAAAAGTGCTGGTAGCTTCTGAAAGACATCAAAACCAGGCACCACACTCAGTCAAACCTGATAAGCCAAGCTTGTGCAATCGGCCTCGGGTTCTGATTGGCTTTGTCTTTGCAGTGTGCCATGCGAGTGTCACAATTCGGGCATGCCCAGCCTGGCTTACGGGGCTCCTGACTCGGCAATGTTCACACGTGACAACCATGCAGTTTAAGTCGAAATAACAGACTCATTCGCGGAAAGGAGGCTTTAAATGGAGACTGTGCCGGACCCAAGTTGGTTCGGCCAAGTGGTGGGATCAGTTCCCATCGCCTGCGTCGCCTGCACTCTGCCCTCCTTTTCTTTCTCCTTGCCTTTCTCTTCCTGCGATGTTTGTTGCAACAAACGAGCACATTCATTTGGATTTGGATGATCCATTTGGATGTTCATTTCTCGGTGCCCCGGCCTCCAAGCCCAAAGCCGCTCCAAGGCCCAGTGCTCGGAGCCTGGAAGATACAGTGCTCGGATTTGCAAATCAACAGATTCCATATGATTCAATCCGATTTGTTCAACTGGTAGCAGGCTTTTGGCATAGCACATCCGGAGAAACGACATTATACCATACCGGTATCATAGTGATCCAGCAACAACACGGCACTATCAAAGCTCTGAGCCAACCTGTGCCTTCGTGGCTTTGCATCCTGTCATTTCAGGCTTCTTACTCGGTCCGCCCCTTCAGTGTTCAATACAAACGCGGCATAAAGTAAGATGCACTCAGATGAGTTGGTCCTCCTGTGCAACATCCATCTCTTTGCCTGTCAAGGCTTTATCCTGGACATGGGCGAAGTGTCTATTTTTGTGCGGACAGTGGCGGAGTTGAGTGGCACAGTTGCTGACCACGCATTGACGAATGAAAAAAAGAACCTGCAAAAAAGCCCAGGCAAAGCACTGTGCCTTTGCTTCGCAAGCAGTGTCTTTGGCAGTAGACTTGTCCTCTCTCATGCTCAACTTTGACAGTCTTGAGTCCAACAGTGGGACTTGTGAACACAAAGGCAGCTTTACCAAGAGCTAGTTGTCTCACATCTCCTTTATCTTGCCAGAGGTTTCCTGAGGATTGGTCACCTGACAATCTCTGCATCCAAAGAACGCTGCAACTCCAATCTACAAAAAACAATTCAACTCTTGCCACTTGTCTGAAAAGGACTACAAAATCACTGAAGCACCTTTGTCTCATCCAATGTTATCTTCGAAGCGGACGAAGTGCCAACTTTGGCCGGCTTTTGCTTTGCAGAGTCACCGGCTGCTCCTGTATCCTCACCTGCTTCTAATTTAGCTTTCGCCATATCTGAGGACATCAGAGATCCTGCTGATGCAAGCTCATCAGCTTTTGCTTGAGCTTCAGGTGCAGTTTTCATTTTTCCAGCTTTCAAAGCTCCTTCTCCGGCTGTGGCCCCTCCAGTTGCAACTTTGGGTGGGGTTGCGTCTTTTGCCGCAGCCTGACCTGGTTTTGCGACATCATCCACTTTCGGGTCCCGTTGTGCCTCTGGCCCAGCTGTTTCCTTCGCAGCAGGTGCAGTTCCTGCTGTTGCTGGTGCACCTTCAGGCCCGCCTGCTTCTCCTTTTGCGACCTCCTTTGTTGCACCTGCTGTTGGAACATCAGGTTCAACTGCTTCCTTTGTTGCAGCCTCACCTGCTCCTGCAAAAGTGCCCGCTTTTGTTTCGGGTTGTGCATTTGCTGTGGCTGTATCCTTCACGGCAGGCTCTCCTGGTGCTTCAGCTGTGGCTGTTGGAACATCAGGTGCAACTGCTTCCTTTGTTGCAGCCTCACCTGCTCCTGCAACATCGTCCGCTTTTGTTTCGGGTTGTGCATCTGGTGTGGCTTTATCCTTCACGGCAGGCTCTCCTCGTGCTTCGGCTGT